TGAGAATGCTCGCCTCAAGAAGGAGGTAGCCAGGCTACAGGGACGCCCACCGCCAGGAGGAATCCGCATACGCACCATGCCCAGGAAGTCGACCACAGCTCCAGTGCGCATTCAGCTCGCGCCCAGGAACCCGCCGCCGCCTCCACCCGCAGCACCTCCCGCAGCTCTAGCCCCAGCTCCAGCTCCTGCTCCAGTGCCGCCCTCTCCTTTGTGCCAGCTTCAGCTTACAAGGGTCCAGCAGGTGGTAGTGGAGGATGGCTGCCAGCTTCTCCTAGTGGTGATCGTGTGATCATCAGCAGTTCCAGCTCCGAGTCAAGCAGCGGTGACATCTACCAGCCAGAGTACTCCAGGAGCTGCTTAGAGGGACCAGGCGACAAGCAGGAGGACGCCTTCGACTCCACTGACCGCAGGAGCCGTTTCGAGCATTAGGCTCGTTTTCCCTAGTTTATCGACTGCTTAGTAGTTGTCTGTTAGTTTGTGTGTTTAGGTTTGTTCGCTTGTGGGTCAGTCGACGGTCAATATCATGTGCCTATGATATGGCGGTCTTAATGAGGAGTTGCTTGTTGTTTTAAGTGTTTCAATTCAGATCAGAACAATAGTAGTTTAAATTCCTGTATAATAAAGCTTAGTTCCTGAGCATCTGTTTTTCTTCTTTTCCATCGCCTCCGTCTGTTCTTCCTTCAGATGGTCAACACCAGGAACGGTGGTCGTGCAGCTGGTGACAGAAGCAACAGTGAAGAACGCACTGATGGTGGACACCCCAACAGCGCCTCCGGCAATGGTCCGCCACCGCTCCCCGAAAACCTGACGCTGGCACAAGTAATGGCCCATCAGACCCAGATGATGGCAGCCATGATGCAGCAGATGCAGCAGCAGCACCATCAGATGCACCAGAGGATGAAGCAGCTGTCACGCCCTAAAAATCGCCTAAATTAAAAATGCATATTTTAAATCATTTTTAGAAAATATTTTAAAAGCCTACAAGCTAAACCCTAATTTTCTAGGAAAATTTTCAACATAAAAATGAGCTAGATAAAATTTTATTAAATACTATGCTTGCTCTTCTAGTTTCTAGAATTTTCTGGGAATTATTTGAGCAAGGGAAGTATTTTTAATAATTGAAACAACATTTCACAAATTATTTTTATTCAAAAAAGTTCCAAAAACCCCTCCCTAAGCCGTTGGGCCGAATTCGGCCCAACTCTCTTCTCTCCGCGCGTGGCCGAACCGGCCCAAGCCGGCCCAGCCGAGCCGCCCGCCCCCTCCTCTCTCCAGCCGCCGACATGTGGGGCCCACATGTCGGAGGTTTCTTCAACCTCCAGCCGGCTGCCTAGCCGAGCCCGAGTCGGCCGCCCGAGCCGCCCCCTTCTCCTCTCAAATCCGCTCCAATCCGACCCCGTTTCTTCTGGATTTTTGAGGGGTTTTGATCCTCTCGTTCTCCTCTATCTTTCCCCTCAAGAATCGGAGCAAATCGTTGAGTATTTTATCCGAATCAAACTCGTTTTCGAGTTTATCTCCAAAACCGAGTTTTTGGTTTTCGGCTTCGATTCCTCTCGTTTGGAGTCCGATCTCTTCAATCCAAGGCTATAAATAGGACCACCTCGTCGCCCTCTTTCGTTTGCCCTCTCTCCCGTGGTCTCCCGTGCCTCCTAGCCGCCGCGCCGCCGCCGTTTAGTCCGCCGCCGCCGCCGGCCGTCTTCGGCTGCGCTGCCGCACCGTCTCCGCCGTCGCCGCCGCTTGCCGCCGCCGCCTGTAGGTGCGCCGTGGTGAGGGGAATCCCGGCCGCCCCTTCCCCTTCGTCGCCGGCCGCCGTAGCTAGCTGCCGTCGGCGAGGTCCAAGCCGCCGCCGCCACCTCTCGTCGCCGGCCGTCGTCGGTTGTCGTTTGACGCATAGGTGAGCACCATTGGGTTCGCGTCGTCGCCCTCTACGTGTAGGTGTCCTCCAAATTCGCAGCCGACCATCCAATCTCCGGCGAGCTTGCCATCCGAGCCGGCCGCCATTGATGACGTCAGCATGACGTCATCGGTTTTCCTTTTTCCCAATTTTCTAATAGATTAAATCTTCGGAAAATCATAACTAAATAACCGTAGATCCGTTTCAGGTGGTTCAAGTTGCTAATTTTTTCTAAAATCAAGATCTACATGTTAAAAATATCCACATGTACTGTTTATGCTTGTTTTTGTACTGTTTTGTTGATTTTTGTTTAATTGCTTTAGTTTCCGACGTTCCGGAGGAGAGCGTTTCCGTTGAGGAAGGTTCCGAAGCGTTTGTGGAAGCTCAGGGCAAGTCACACAGATCCCAAACAACCCTTTGAGCATGTTGAACCCGTTTAAAGCTATTATTTTATTTCAACTATGCATGGTTTTTGAATGTCATCGGGTGGTGAACCTTTCCCAATTAGTTAATGGCCGAAGATGACTTTATTTTCCTATGGGTTATAATTTGATTAGCATGAACCTTATATACTGGATTGGTTCAGCTAAATGCTATATGTATGTTTGCTTAGCCATGCTTAGAAACATAAGCTAACTAAAGGGGTTAAATCTAAAATTATATTAATATTATTAATTAGGGTTATATTCAAAGGTAGCTCACGATGGTAAATCGTGTGATGTTAATTAATTGATAATTAAAACCTGGTTAAGGTGGGTTGTGAGCATATGGTTTTGATGGTTGTGCTCATGACAATTAAGGACCGGTTCGCGAGCTACTGTTGTGAAACATTTACCGTGCCAACCACAAGCCAGCGTGGGCAACGGCTTTATCTTTTGTATAGCGTGATTCATTATAGTGCGCCAGACTGAGAAGTGGCGAGAAGTCCATGGGGGTCGCTGAGGAGTCCATGCCTTGTTTATAAGGGGGTGATTATGATCCAGGAAAGGTGCGCTGTAATGGGTTATGTTGTGCAAGGGGTATTGTCACAACTCCTTTCCAAGGTACCGTGGTGGTATTGAGGCACATGGTGACATGATGTGGGGTTGTGTCTTGTGGGTACAGTGGTACACCTCTGATCAGAGTTTAAACTATTCGAATAGCCGTACCCGCGGTTATGGGTGAGTTGAGCAATGTTTTTCGTGATTAGTCTCACACTACTCATTAATGGTAATAATGTGATAATTAATTTGACTCATGGTTTGGAATGGATAATTCCTGGTTTGGAGGTTTAATTTGTTCAACTGGGGTTGGTTGTTCAAAAGTGGTTGGGCCTATGCAACATGGGTGTGTTGTATGGTGTTTATTTAATATTGATTAATTATACAACTGTTTTACTATTCTCTTAAAGTATTTGTTAAATGCTGTTTCTGCAAATGAGCTATATTATGCCATCCTTTGTTACTCTGTGCACTTGCATATTTGCTGTGTGGCTTGTTGAGTGTGTTATATGCTCATTCTTGCAATATTCATTCATCAGAATAAGAGTATCTCAGTGAAGGTGATGATCTGGAGGATTAGGCTTGTTCTTGGTTAAGATGCCTGTGGAGTGGAGTCGCCATAGCTGTTCCGTAGTTTGTTATAGTTGTATTTTCCGCTGCGTAGAATGTTATTCTTTGAGAGGAACTATCTACCTCTGTAATCTTTTATTATTTGCGAATATTAAATAGTTATTTATTTGTACTCTATTATCAATTTGTTATTGTGTGCCTCGGTTGATTCCTGGACGAGGGTTTAACACACATGTAAGCGTTTGGAATTTTGGATAGAAATTCCGGGCGTGACAGCAGCAGGCCGATCAGCAGCAGCAACAGTTTGGTCCCCCTCCCCCTCAGTCCAAGCTGCCAGAGTTTCTACGTGTCAGGCCACCCACCTTCTCTAGCACCACCAACCCCATGGAGGCAAATGACTGGCTCCATGCCATAGAGAAGAAGCTCAACCTTCTGCAGTGCAATGATTAGGAAAAGGTTGCCTTTGCCACACACCAGCTCTAGCGTCCCGCGTCAGCTTGGTGGGACAACCACATGGCTACCCGCCTGCCAGGCATAGAAGTTACTTGGGCGGAATTCTGTCGCAGCTTCAAGAAGGCTCAGGTGCCAGACGGGGTCGTGGCACAGAAGAAGAGAGAATTCTGGGCACTCAACCAGGGAAGCAGGCGACTATGTGTACCTTCGTGTTACTCCGCTCAGGGGAGTACACCGTTTTCAGATGAAAGGCAAGTTGGCACCACACTTCGTGGGACCATACAAGATCTTGGAGCGAAGAGAAGTCGCATATCAGCTAGAACTTCCATCCAACATGGCTGGTATCCATGATGTGTTCCATGTGTCGCAGTTAAAGAAGTGTTTGAGGGTGCAAGAAGAGCAAGCCAATTCGGAGCACATCGATATTCAAGAAGATCTGACTTATGTGAAGAAGCCAGTTCGCATTCTTGAGACCAGCGAGAGAAGAACTAGAAACAAGGTGACCAGGTTCTGAACCCTTCTGCAGGGTTCAGTGGAGCCACCACTCCGAGGAAGAAGCAACATGGGAAAGGGAAGATGAGTTGAAGGCCGCCCATCCGCACCTCTTCGCCAGCTCCTCCAAATATCGAGGTCGAGATTCCGTTTATGGGGTAGGTTTGTCACATCCTGAAGTTCTTCTCCCAAGCCTAAATCAAATTAATAAATGGTCACAAGAAATTACCTCTGTAAAGGCAAGAGGGAAACCCTAATTTAATTAATGTAAATAATAATCGGACAAGGCATGTGGAATTTTTCTTGGGTTCTACATGTCAAAATATGTTAACAAGATTGTTAGTGGAATTTTCAGAGCTGTAGAAGTAATTTTAAACAATTAAAATCGAGCATAAGCATTATTTAAATCCCTGGAAAATCCTTTTTCTTTTTTCTTTTCTTTTTCCCCTCCTTTTTTCCTTTTGGGCCGCCGGCCCAATGTCCCCTCCCCCTTGCGCGCGCTAGCTGGGCCGGCCCGAGGCCGAGGCGCAGCCAGCGGCTGCCCCGCGCCCCTCCCCACTCCGGGTCATCGATAGGTGGGGCACACCTGTCGGGCCCGTCCCCTACCTCTGGCCGGCGCCGCCCGTGCCTGCAACCACCGCTTCCGCCCTCTCCCATGCGTCCCGCCCACGTCGCCCGCCTCCCGCGCCCTCTCCCTCACTTCCCGCAACCGCCGCCCCACTTCCCCCGCGCGTCCGCACCGAGAAACGGCCGGGATTCAATTTTCGAATCCCGCCGGCCCTCTTTCTCCACCTTCCCCACCTCGCCGGTAAATCCGCACCAACCCCGGCCGTTCCCACACTCCCCTCCCCTAAATAAATGATCCCTTCTTACTCCTCCACCTTTTTCCTTTTTCCACCGCCCGTTCTCGAGCTCTCCTCCACCCTAGCGCCGTGCACCGCCCACCGCCGCTGCTTTAGCTACCTTCGGCCGCCGCTCGCCACCGTTAGAGCTGCCGCCGAGTCCCGCCGTCGCCGTCGTCGGGTTCGCGAGCTTGAGCGCCACCCCGTCCACCCCTCCGTCGGGCGAATCCGCCACTGGAACCCGCCGTCCCTCGTGCGCCGGTGAGCATCGCCACGGTCGCCGCCTTCGGCTGGCGCCCTAGCTCGCTGCGGTCTCTCTCTCACTCTCTAACCTTCCCCGTTGTGTTCTTTTGGTCATCCCGGAGCACGTCCCGCCGTCGCCGCCGTCTCCCGCCGCTCGCCGTCGTCGATCCTTGTCGGTGAGGCATCCCCTCCTCCCTTTCTCTCTCTCCCGCGTCACCTAGCGTCGCCGCTTAGCCGCCGCGCCGCTGTGCCGCCACCTAGTCGCGCCGCCATCACGTCGCCGCCGCTCGCCGCCTCGCACCGTCGCCGCGCGCCATGGCCGCCGGGCCGCCTCAAGCCCATGGGTGCATGGTTTTGATGGTCGCACCCATGGTAATTAAGGACCGGTTCGCGGGGTGCCCTGGAAGAACTTATGGTACTTACCACAAGCCAGCGTGGGCAACGGTTGGGCTTGTAGTGTAGCTTTCCTCTAGCTGACGCATCTAGGCTAGGGTGGGCGTGATGGAGTTTGGATGGGCCCTGCGACGGCCTATGCGGCTTCTGGATTCACCTAGACACGAGAGGGGACTGCCCGCTACCTTGCGAGGAGTGGGGGTGAAACCTGAGGTGTGGTGTGTTTGGTTAGAGGGGTTATGCGAAGGGTCCTGTCACGGCCTCTTTCCGGTATGTCGTGGTGGCATGCCGGCGCATGAAAACGTATCGTGGGGCTGTGTCTTGTGGGTACAGTTGTACACCTCTGATCAGAGTAAAACTATTCGAATAGTCGTGCCCGCGGTTATGGGCGATCAACCAGATTCACCGTGATTAGTCTCACCCTAGTTTAGTCTAATGGAATTGACCAGTTTTGGTGGTGGGTGGGGCCTGTTGCAACATGGCGTAGCATTAGACAGTGGCGGGTTAGTACTGATTAATTACTACAACTATTTTACTGCTTTCAACTACTGTTTATAAATGCTAGCTTTATGCAAATGAACTCCTTTAGCCCTCCTTGGTTAAATATATTGCATCGTACCCTCCGTTCCGATATGACTTGCTGAGTACAGTGGGTAGTACTCAGTCTTGCTCTATCTTCCAACCCTTAGAGTTCGAGTATGCGTCCGATGGTGGTTTCCCTGAGGAGTAGGCTTCGTCCGTGCCGTCGAGGATACCTGTGGAGTGGTGTTCCCGCTGCAATGCAAGTCAAGGCTTAGCTCCAGTTACCTTTTACTTTTCGCTGCATTTATGTAAGACTTTTATAATGTTTGTAAGACGTGGATCTGTATGTCAACTTTGTCGTTTGTGTACCCTAGCCGGTCCTGAACAGGGGTTTTAATGCACTTTCTGCTTGGAATTCTATTCGGGAATTTCTGGGCGTGACAGGCGTCGACGATGGAGGACATGGGCTGTGAGTGGCAGTGGCACAGGCTAGGTGGTGGTGGCAGTGGCACGTGCTAGGTGGTGGCGGTGCCGGCAAGCGGCGCACGGGGTGACGGGCGGCGTTGGCGGTGGCGCGTGGGCTGACTGGTGGCCGTGCCGGCGGCGGGCGTCAGTAGCGTCGGTGGTGGCGACGCGCGGGCTGACCGCCGGTGGCGGCGGCAACGGTTGAGTGACGCCAACCATGTGTTCGACGAAATGACGACAAGGAACGTGGTGGTGTGGAGTAACAAGTCTAACCAAACACTTTTACACCCTCCTAAGCTCCTATAGGAGATAGCTCCCTATGGAGTTGGAGTTCATAGTTGGGTGTTAGAGTTTGGAGCTCTACCAAATGGAGCCCTAGTGTTAAAAGACATTTTTTTGAAGTGCAGTGTTAAGAAAACTAAACACATGAGTTCTGTGCTTTTTGAGATCTTTAGTCTGGAAGCATCCGGATTGGTAAAACGTGTTTCCACAGTCATAGATGAGCCTGATGATCTAATGGTGCATTTTCATTTACCAGTTCATCCAACCGTCCTTGCCGTTGTAGATAACGTGGCTCATCCTACTTTTAGAAAGCTTGTTGCTTTCACATATTTAGATTTTTAAATACACATGGACCTTGAAATATACAATATTTCAATTATGAAATGAGTAAAATATTTTTTTAACAACGTGGATTCCACGTACACATTTACTGGATATCATTTGTATCGATAGTACGAGCATAATACTAATACAAATAATCCATGAAGCGATCAATTTATCAATTGGAGTTAAAGTGAATAAATGTAGTAAAAGATACCTAAAGTATATAATAATGATAAGAAAAATACTATTGCGCACTTTTATGTGAGGGTATTGATCATTTGAACTGGAAGCATAAGCATGCTGAAGCATTAATTGTGTTTATTCAGGCAAAACACATCCATCATCTGGGACCTTTGTTCCACGGCCATAAAATAGGGGTGCTCGAATCTCCAAGTAAAAACATCATTCATTGTGCGCATGATCTCCATGTTCTCCTTGAACTGCTCAAGTAGGCATGGAGCCATCTCCTCCTCAAGCTGCCTGATCGCCGTGGCGTCGCAGCGACGATGGCTACCGCCGGTGGGCACTTGTCCGCCGTCATCGCCGGCGCATCGCCGCCGGAGCTTCTCTATGAAGGCCATGGGCACGACGTACGAGACTCCGCTGCCGTCCTCAAGATTTCGGGACGCTATAGGTCTAGTCTTGATCTCCTCCTCCTCCCAGAGCGTCACGGTGAACTGTGGATCATCAATAGGGCGACGGCGAGAGGTGCGGCTGCCGTCTGGTGAATTAAGCAAGATCATGTGTGCATATGAAGATTAAGTACCAGTCAAATTTGCATTCTAATAATAATATTTAATACTAGCTAGAATGGAAAATATAATGTGGCGGGGAATTAAATCGAAGGATAACACTCTAAATATAGGAAATAAACTATAATATAACGAACTAAAATAGAAAACTATACAATTCATCCACTAAGAGCGAAATTATTAGTGGGTGCGTATCGCTCGCTCACTGGTGGCGTCGCCGGCCGCCGGAGAAAATGAGATCTGGCCACCGGTGAATGCCAATTTTTTTTGAACGAAACAAATACTATTATACTATCAGAACGCACAGAGAGGGATCGATCGAGGGCGATGCATGCATGGGTGGTCGTCGATGCACAGCACTAATTGAATGAAATGATGCCGAAATATTCGCGGATTTTGCGTCGTCGTAGGCACGTTAGGGTATGTTAATTGGTATAGACGAGTACGGTATCTTAAACAATACAAGATTATTTGTAGACACTGTCTTTACAATAGTTGAGACGACAAAAGCTCTAAACATTAACTCAAAAAATATTTCTTTTGTTAATATTCTTTCCAATTGTTTTTACCCTCATGCAACCATATTTCCCTATTATAGTGATTAAGAGTCGTTGTTGTTGTTAAGCCGTTGTCATGCATAACAACTATGTTTTGTCTCTCCTCTTTCTCTTTCTTCTATGTCAACAAGTATTCGTAATTATCAAACGCTAAGGGCAGTCCCAACCCTCCACCTAGGATAGTGTCTATAGCATTAACTACATTGTTATATAGGATTTTTAGCTTATGTGGCACTATATTAATTAAGAGAGAGAGTGAAGAGAGGAAGAAACTGGGTCTCATGCAAGAAACAGCTTCAACACGAGAACCTATTGCATTGGGTGAGAATAGTATCTTTATAATAGATGAAGAATAAATATGATTGGTAGATAAGAGAGATGATGTATTTATTAATGGCCCACTTTAAGAAACCATGGGTTATAGAGTGTAGTTTCTATTATGATGTCTTATTAATATGGCATCATAGACACTGCTTATGGATACTATGGGTTGAGACTGCCCTAATAGACTACTATTGACAATCACTATACATGCCCTTAGTTAATTACCTAGTGCGGTGGGGATGGCGATAAGGTCGCCGGCGGCGACGCCAACGGTGACGGCGGCGGAGAATAAGAGGATGAGAGCAAGGAGGAGGGGTGGACAACGGCGTTGCATCGCAGCAAGTAGCTGCATATGTGTCGATCTCTGTACGTATTACGCCACTTAACGTGTGCAAGTCAAACAAACTGATCTCAAATTTACTTGCTTTGCTCGATCTGCATGCATGTAAAACAAACTGATCGTATATATCTCGTTGATCCGATCCGACTTAACAGCAAACAGGAGCTAATTAAAATTTGTGCATGCACTTAATGAATATAAGCGTGGTGTGCATTATTCTGGCAAATTAATTGGAAAAATTTTAATTCCTGCGATATTAATTCGAACTTGAGATTAATTAATTAACTATGATGTATATGGTTACTGAAAGCATTGACATTGACAGAGAATTACGTGCATTCATCATCGCAGCAGTTGAATCAAGGGAATGAACCGTGTGATGAGTAAAGCATCGATCTTGGCCCTCTCAATTCTCATCTCCCTGCAAGAAATGCATAAAAGGGGCAGCTTGCCAGTCCCAAGAAGCATGGCATGTGAGAAAGCATATCTTTGTTACTCTTTTGCTCTTTTTGCTCTTCCTGCAAGAAATGCATAGAATAGGACTGAGATTACATAGCTCTTCACTCTTTTAGTTTGTTCCTACGCAAGAGGGATCACAGAGCTAGGTAGCAAGGGGCTATAAATATATATATATATATATATATGACACACCTTAAGGTGCTACGTACTAAACAGCACCTGATACAGCCCCCCAGCCCACCCACCCACGCTCCCCATCCTACCCCACCAAATCTATAGTATGCAGTTAAAATTTAACTCATCGATGACTAATCTCGATCCCACCCCTGCGCCTCCTCTCTCACTCTCATACTGTCTGCACCCACCACTCTCCTCTATTAGTAATTATTTTACTCTTATCTCACGCTCACAGCACCTCTTATACATAATACCACACTCTTTAACGTAGTAATTCTTTTACTCAAATCCTCCTACTAATATATGTAGCCATTTTATACGGTATGATAGATTCCCAAAAATTTATCCACCGCCACCGGTTTCTTCGGATCTGGAGAGGCTCCGGAGGGCACAACGGCACCGATCGGGAGGAGGCAGCGGTCGGCGGTGGTGGGCGGCAGGATCCGGCGTAGAGTTGGCAGGCGACGGCGGGACCATGCATGGCAGCGACCGATTCCATCGTAGCCAGGTAACGACCAAGCGCGCGGGAGGTGGTGACGTGCTGCGCATCTGACAGCGAGGGAAGATGGGAGACGAGACGGCCTCGTCTGACAGCGAACGGAACGGCGGCCCCGGCGATGGGTGGATCCATCCACCACGCTGGCCCTCTCATATCCCAGTGGCTCCGTTCACGGTGCCTGGGTACTGAATCAGCACCGTGGAATGAAGCGGGGACGACGGCATCCGGCGACACTGCCGGTGTGGAAGCTGAATGGCACCTCGCCGCAAACCACGTCTGCATCTGGAGATATGATGGGGGTCTGATCCGCTGCGTCCTCCACTGACCTGATTCGTCTGCAGTTCTGCATGCTCTCAGCTCCGATGCACTCTCCATGGCTGCCGATGGGAGAAGGCGTTGACCACGAGGATGACCGCTTCTTTTTTTCTTCAGTTGTATTTCATTTTCTTAGCTTTGTAATTTTTAACTACGTATTTCAGACATCATGTGGACGCAACGTCCGTGGATCCGGCACGGCACGGCTGTGGGCGTGGCGGCGACGGACGACTACGGGTAGGAGGCGAGGAGGCGGTGCATCCGGCCGCCGCTCCACGCCCCACATGCGCGAATCCGGTGTGAATCTTGCACGGGTGACGGCGGGTGCAGCCGTGATGGGCAACTGCGGGCAGGAGGCAAGGCGGCGGTGGATCCGGCCGCCACTCTGCCCCCACGCACACGGCGCGACCTCCGCGGTGGCGATTTCGGATTTTGATGGATATGGAGGAGCAGCGGCGGCAGCCTCCACGACGCGCCACCGTCAATGTTCGGAGCAAGCGCCAAAAAATATTTAACTTATTCTATAGATTGTGAGGATGTATATGTTGAGTCAGTTTTGTTGTGATACCAAGTTACTTTTTTATCCGTAAGGATACCAAGCATATGATGTATATGAAAATGGTCTGTAGTGAATAGATAGCGCATGTTTTATTAAGAGAAATTATCGCTCGAAAAAAACCCTTTTTTGGCACCTCATCTAACCGTTTTTTCATTTAACGCCGAATCAATACTCCCTAACATCACGCATATTTTTTTAAAGAACCAAAAATTATTTTTTAACTACGTATTTCAGACATCATGTGGGTATTTTTATAACAATAAGTTATTTTTACATCACACAAATTTCTTGATTTAGTTTTTAACTACAATTACAAGATCTTACATCCACGAGTTAAATTTTAACTACATATTTCAATCCCTGTATATGAGTTTACGTAACTCCAAGTTAGATAACTCACGTTGTAAAGTTAAATTTTAACTCCACAACAATATCATCTTAACCCACAACCCAACTATATATAAGTTAAATATTAACTCGTTATCTGAAACATCGAAGCGCATCACAATTCTTTTGTACCAGTTAAACTTTAACTTCCCATACGGCCTCGCTCGGACGTGTGGTCTGTGGGGTTCGTTTACGCGACATTTTCCGGCAGTTAATTTTTAACTCCACAACCAGTTGGCTTGGTTTGGTGGGCTGACTTTCCTTATTGTGTGTGGCGTCATTTTGTTCCGTGGCGCGCAGCGCCTGTGTGTGGCGCTAGGTAGTGCCACCGTGTGTATATACACGCGCGCGCAATAAGCATGTCCATGAGGCACAAGCACAAACCACGGACAAAACACTTGTTTGATTTCAACTGATTAGTTGAAATAATTAAGGTACTACGCATTGCACAAGTATTCTCTATTACTTTGTCTATATTATTCCTTAATATATGCACTGTTGCTATATACTTTCTCCGTTCTTAGATATATTATACCTTTGACTTTTTCAAATGTTCGATCATTCCTCTTATTAAAAATTTTATATAAATATAAAAAATATAAGTAATGTTTAAAATATATTTAATGATGAATCATATCACAATAAAATAAATGATAGCTACATATTTTTTTAATAAGACGAATAGACAAAAGTATGCCTAAAAGTCAATGTTATCATATATTAAGAAAAATGAAGGGAGTACATTATTTTTCAGTTCTTTTTGGAATGGAAGTATATTTGAAAACAGGGATAAATTAATGATTAATGGTTTTCAGCAGTGAACAATTCATCGATAGTATTGACACTGTGTTAATTTCTTGTTTTTTAATGTTTGATGCTTCCTCGCTAGCTAGGAAAGGCGGCAAGAGGCACACGGATCAGAAGACTAGTTCAAGTATATCCAACACGATAATCTACCAGCAATAATATATCAGGCAATCATTCCTTGTCTTTTCTCTAAATTATGTTTGACCGTTGCTTTTATATATATATGTGATATATTTTCCTAGCTTATCGATTTTTGTCTTCATGTACATATCGTTTCTCTCTGCTGGCAACTACTAGTATGTTGTATATTGTATCTTTGATTTATTTACGGGCCTATATAGTATTTTTCAATGTGACATTATGTCAATGGATGATGGATGTAAATAAGGCCAGGCTTATGCCATTTTAAGTGTTTTTAGTGTAGTCTCTGTTATGGTCTTGTGGAAAGTACGCGCGATGTTCTGTTTAGAAATTTAGTATTCCTTCAGTTAAAAAATATAAGCATTTACTGCTATATATCTAGACAAACACTTACAAGGAATGGAAACGGTAGTAGATATATCCTGCTTAGGGTGTCTTTATACACTACCATACAGAAACAACGAGTGGAGCGTGGTCCTGTCTGTAAAAATTAACTTGCATTTTTCGCTACGGCTTATTAAGAGGCCCGCATACGAAAATAAGTATATTTTCACATGTGAGCCTCTTATGGTCCACATAAAAAATACCCCCTACCCCCTACCACCAACCCTCACCACCACCTTAAAAATCTAATTTCATCCACTCACTCTCTCCCAGTACTCCCTTATCCTCTCCTCTCTTCTCACACCCTCTCTCCTCTCCTCTCTCCCCATGGCGGCAAGAGTAGTGGCAGACTGCGGCAGTGATCCTCCCCGCACGGAGACCAGCGGAGGAGGCGCGTGTCGACAGTGGCAGCGGCTCTCCCCGCGCCGAGGCTAGCGGAGGAGGCGCGTGATGGTGGCGGTGGCTCTTCCGCACGCCGAGGCCAGTGGAGGCGGCGCCTAGCAGCGGCAGCTATCCCCTGCATAGATCCGGGGGTCGGCGGCCCTCCCCCGTGCGGATCCGGTGGCAGCCGCCCTCCCCTACGGTGATGACGACAACGGCGGGCGGTGGGGGCTGCTTCGACATCTAGGGTTTCGGACTTTTTTTTTGGTTGCATTTTTTTGTCCAAACTATTTTCGCGTGCGGTTGGCTTAGGTGACCGCATACGGTTGCGCTACCTGTATAGGAAAATGTCAATCTCCGTAGACACCTGAGTGAAGACGGGCCAAAAGCCCATATGCTAAACCGTCTAGAAAAATCCTTCTTGTAGTTTTACTTGAACACGATAAGATAAAGATAGTGGCAAGTAAGGAATCCCATCCATGTAAGGAAGGACTTAATTTGTAGTTTTACTTCAACACGATAAGATTTTGTTTGCCCACATACTATTTTGGTTCCCGAATTCTATTTGAACTAGGGGTTATATTTCGATATAATTGCATGGCCTTCTCGGAGGGGAGGACAACGATCGAATCACAAGATGTACAACACGCCACACAGAGCCTATAACAAGTAAGAAGCCCATATCCCATCGAGATTAGTTTGATAGACTAGATTAGATAGCTTGCTTCCCGCAATATACTCGGTGTTATACACATCATCAATACATAAAGACAAGAGTGCGACTATTATACCCACATCGGGATCCAAACCGGTATAATCGTGCTCTCTTCCTTTTAGGGGAGTCTTCTGCTCTCTTTAATCCATCCATACTCGTGCTTGTATACC